ACCCTTTCCCAAAATATGAGGAGCAGCCCAAACATCTCCCCACCCCTTGCGTTCAATTTTGGGGTCTCCCCTTGCCCTCAAACCCCTCCCCAGGAAGGTGGGGAGCTGCCCCATCTCCCCCACCCCTCATGATGAATTTTGGGGTCCCCCCTTGCCCCAAACCCTTTCCCAAAATATGAGGAGCAGCCCAAACATCTCCCCACCCCTTGCGTTCAATTTTGGGGTCTCCCCTTGCCCCCAAACCCCTCCCCAGGAAGGTGGGGAGCTGCCCCATCTCCCCCACCCCTCATGATGAATTTTGGGGTCCCCCCTTGCCCCCAAACCCCTTCCCAGTGAATGAGGAGCTGCCCCAACATCTCCCCAGCCCCTCGTGATGAGTTTTGGGGTCCCCCCTTGCCCCCAAACCCCAGTGAATGAGGAGCTGCCCCAACATCCCCCCACCCCATCATGCTCAGTTTTGGGGTCCCACCTTGAACTCCAAACCCCACTTGACCCCAAACTCCTCCCCAGGAAGGCAAAGAGCAGCCCAAACATCTCCCCCACCCATTACAATGAGTTTTGGGGTCCCCCCTTGCCCCCAAACCCCCCACAGGAAGGTGAGGAGCAGCACCAACATCTCCCCAATCCTTCATGATGAGTTTTGGGGTCCCCCCTTGCCCCAAACCCCCCGCAGGAAGGTCCGATCTCCCCCACCCGTCATGCTCAGTTTTGGGGTCCCCCCTTGCCCCCAAACCCTCCCCCAGGTGAGGAGCAGCACCAACATCTCCCCCACCCCTCGTGCTCAGTTTTGGGGTCCCCCCTTGCCCCCAAAGCCCTCCCAGGAGCACAGGAAGCAGCACCAACATCTCCCCTCAACCCCAACCCCATCATGCTCAATTTTGGGGTCCCCCCTTGCCCCGAACCCCCCGCAGGAGGGCGAGGAGCTGGTGCAGGCCAAGCCGGAGCTGAGCGGGGCGGTGCGGCGGCAGCTGGAGGAGCTCAGGAGATGCTGGCAGGAGCTGGAGACCACGAGCCAGGCGCGGAGCCGGCGCTTGGCCGAGGCGGCGGCCGCCGAGCGCCTGGCGCGGAGCTACGCCGACATGGAGGCGCGGCTGGGCCGGCTGGAGGAGCAGCTGGAGAGCGTGGGCAGCGGCGCCGACCTGCGCAGCGTCAGCCGCCAGCTCAAGAGGCTGCAGGTGGGGCTGGGGGACACCGGGACGGGGGACACCAGGTCTGGGGGGGACACCGGGTCTGGGGGACACCGGGTCTGGGGGGATACCAGGTATGGGGAGGACAGCAGGAGTTGGGGAACACCAGGACGAGGGACACCAGGTCTGGGGGGATACCAGGACTGGGGGACACCAGGAGTTGGGGGGACAGCAGGTGTTGGGGACACCAGGAGCTGGGGGGACACCAGGTCTGGGGGACACCGGGTCTGGGGGACACCAGGTCTGGGGACCCCAGGAGCGGGGGGGACACCAGGTCTGGGGGACACCGGGTCTGGGGGACACCAGGTCTGGGGGGATACCAGGTCTGGGGGACACCGGGTCTGGGGGGATACCAGGTATGGGGAGGACAGCAGGAGTTGGGGGACACCAGGAGTTGGGGGGGACACCAGGCTTTGAGGGGACACCAGGCTTTGAGGGGACACCAGGCTTTGAGGGGACACCAGGCTTTGAGGGGACACCAGGCTTTGAGGGGACACCAGGCTTTGAGGGGACACCAGGCTTTGAGGGGACACCAGGCTTTGAGGGGACACCAGGCTTTGAGGGGACACCAGGCTTTGAGGGGACACCAGGCTTTGAGGGGACACCAGGCTTTGAGGGGACACCAGGCTTTGAGGGGACACCAGGCTTTGAGGGGACACCAGGCTTTGAGGGGACACCAGGCTTTGAGGGGACACCAGGCTTTGAGGGGACACCAGGCTTTGAGGGGACACCAGGCTTTGAGGGGACACCAGGCTTTGAGGGGACACCAGGCTTTGAGGGGACACCAGGCTTTGAGGGGACACCAGGCTTTGAGGGGACACCAGGCTTTGAGGGGACACCAGGCTTTGAGGGGACACCAGGCTTTGAGGGGACACCAGGCTTTGAGGGGACACCAGGCTTTGAGGGGACACCAGGCTTTGAGGGGACACCAGGCTTTGAGGGGACACCAGGCTTTGAGGGGACACCAGGCTTTGAGGGGACACCAGGCTTTGAGGGGACACCAGGCTTTGAGGGGACACCAGGCTTTGAGGGGACACCAGGCTTTGAGGGGACACCAGGCTTTGAGGGGACACCAGGCTTTGAGGGGACACCAGGCTTTGAGGGGACACCAGGCTTTGAGGGGACACCAGGCTTTGAGGGGACACCAGGCTTTGAGGGGACACCAGGCTTTGAGGGGACACCAGGCTTTGAGGGGACACCAGGCTTTGAGGGGACACCAGGCTTTGAGGGGACACCAGGCTTTGAGGGGACACCAGGCTTTGAGGGGACACCAGGCTTTGAGGGGACACCAGGCTTTGAGGGGACACCAGGCTTTGAGGGGACACCAGGCTTTGAGGGGACACCAGGCTTTGAGGGGACACCAGGCTTTGAGGGGACACCAGGCTTTGAGGGGACACCAGGCTTTGAGGGGACACCAGGCTTTGAGGGGACACCAGGCTTTGAGGGGACACCAGGCTTTGAGGGGACACCAGGCTTTGAGGGGACACCAGGCTTTGAGGGGACACCAGGCTTTGAGGGGACACCAGGCTTTGAGGGGACACCAGGCTTTGAGGGGACACCAGGCTTTGAGGGGACACCAGGCTTTGAGGGGACACCAGGCTTTGAGGGGACACCAGGCTTTGAGGGGACACCAGGCTTTGAGGGGACACCAGGCTTTGAGGGGACACCAGGCTTTGAGGGGACACCAGGCTTTGAGGGGACACCAGGCTTTGAGGGGACACCAGGCTTTGAGGGGACACCAGGCTTTGAGGGGACACCAGGCTTTGAGGGGACACCAGGCTTTGAGGGGACACCAGGCTTTGAGGGGACACCAGGCTTTGAGGGGACACCAGGCTTTGAGGGGACACCAGGCTTTGAGGGGACACCAGGCTTTGAGGGGACACCAGGCTTTGAGGGGACACCAGGCTTTGAGGGGACACCAGGCTTTGAGGGGACACCAGGCTTTGAGGGGACACCAGGCTTTGAGGGGACACCAGGCTTTGAGGGGACACCAGGCTTTGAGGGGACACCAGGCTTTGAGGGGACACCAGGCTTTGAGGGGACACCAGGCTTTGAGGGGACACCAGGCTTTGAGGGGACACCAGGCTTTGAGGGGACACCAGGCTTTGAGGGGACACCAGGCTTTGAGGGGACACCAGGCTTTGAGGGGACACCAGGCTTTGAGGGGACACCAGGCTTTGAGGGGACACCAGGCTTTGAGGGGACACCAGGCTTTGAGGGGACACCAGGCTTTGAGGGGACACCAGGCTTTGAGGGGACACCAGGCTTTGAGGGGACACCAGGCTTTGAGGGGACACCAGGCTTTGAGGGGACACCAGGCTTTGAGGGGACACCAGGCTTTGAGGGGACACCAGGCTTTGAGGGGACACCAGGCTTTGAGGGGACACCAGGCTTTGAGGGGACACCAGGCTTTGAGGGGACACCAGGCTTTGAGGGGACACCAGGCTTTGAGGGGACACCAGGCTTTGAGGGGACACCAGGCTTTGAGGGGACACCAGGCTTTGAGGGGACACCAGGCTTTGAGGGGACACCAGGCTTTGAGGGGACACCAGGCTTTGAGGGGACACCAGGCTTTGAGGGGACACCAGGCTTTGAGGGGACACCAGGCTTTGAGGGGACACCAGGCTTTGAGGGGACACCAGGCTTTGAGGGGACACCAGGCTTTGAGGGGACACCAGGCTTTGAGGGGACACCAGGCTTTGAGGGGACACCAGGCTTTGAGGGGACACCAGGCTTTGAGGGGACACCAGGCTTTGAGGGGACACCAGGCTTTGAGGGGACACCAGGCTTTGAGGGGACACCAGGCTTTGAGGGGACACCAGGCTTTGAGGGGACACCAGGCTTTGAGGGGACACCAGGCTTTGAGGGGACACCAGGCTTTGAGGGGACACCAGGCTTTGAGGGGACACCAGGCTTTGAGGGGACACCAGGCTTTGAGGGGACACCAGGCTTTGAGGGGACACCAGGCTTTGAGGGGACACCAGGCTTTGAGGGGACACCAGGCTTTGAGGGGACACCAGGCTTTGAGGGGACACCAGGCTTTGAGGGGACACCAGGCTTTGAGGGGACACCAGGCTTTGAGGGGACACCAGGCTTTGAGGGGACACCAGGCTTTGAGGGGACACCAGGCTTTGAGGGGACACCAGGCTTTGAGGGGACACCAGGCTTTGAGGGGACACCAGGCTTTGAGGGGACACCAGGCTTTGAGGGGACACCAGGCTTTGAGGGGACACCAGGCTTTGAGGGGACACCAGGCTTTGAGGGGACACCAGGCTTTGAGGGGACACCAGGCTTTGAGGGGACACCAGGCTTTGAGGGGACACCAGGCTTTGAGGGGACACCAGGTGTTGGGGACACCAGGGGTTGGGGGGACAGCAGGACGGGGGACACCAGGTGTTGGAGAAACACCAGGTGTTGGGGACACCAGGTGTTGGGGGGACAGCAGGAGTTGGGGGGGACACCAGGTGTTGGGGGACACCACGAGCTGGGGGACACCAGGCTTTGAGGGGACACCAGGAGTTGGGGGGACACCAGGTGTGGGGGGGACACCAGGCTTTGAGGGAGCATTGGGTAGTGGGGGGACACCAGGTTGTGAGGGGAACCCAAGAGTTTGGGGGACACCAGGTGTTGGGTGGACTTTGGGTGGCGTTGAGACACCAGGCTATGGAGGGACACTACGTCGTGGTGGGGACATCAGCTTGTGGGGGGACACCAGGTTATGGTGGACACCAGATTGTGGTGGACACATTATGAGGGACACCAAATTATGGGGGGTGAACACCACATTGTGGGGCCACCACATTATGGGGTCACAACGTTTTTTTGGGGGGAAGGCTCCACGTTGGGAGCTGGAGGTGCCATCTGGCCATCACGGCCGCCTTCCCCGCCGTGTCCCCCCAGACGATGGAGTCGCAGGTGGAGGAGTGGTACAAGGAGGTGGGCGAGCTGCAGGCGCAGGCGGCGGCGCTGCCGGCGCAGGCGGCCGGGCGGGACGCGGTGGGCGAGCGGCAGAGCGCGGTGGGGACGCGCATCGTGCGCCTCATCGAGCCCCTCAAGGAGCGGCGGAGGATCCTGCTGGCCTCCAAGGAGGTGCATCAGGTCAGCCATGAGCTGGAGGACGAGGTGGTGAGTATCGGGGTGGGGATGGAGATCGGGGTGAAGGTGGAGATGGGATGGAGATGGAGGTGGAGATGGGATAGAGATGATGGAGGTGGGGTGAAGATGGGTGGGCATGGAGATGGAGATGAGATGGAGATGGAGATGGGATGGATATGGAGAAGGAGATGGGATGGAGTTTTATGTGAATGGGGTGGAGATGGAGATGGAAATGGGATAGAGATGATGGAGGTGGAATGGAGATGAGATGGGGGTGAAGATGAAGAAGGAGATTGGATGGAGATGGGATGGAGTTTGTGGTGAATGGGGTGGAGATGGAGATGGGATAGAGATGATGGAGGTGGGATGAAGATGGATGGGCATGGAGATGGAAATGATGGAGATGATGGAGATGAGATGGAGATGAGTTGAAGATGGAGATGGGATGGAGTTTGAGACGAATGGGGTAGAGATGGAGATGGGATGAAGATGAACATGAATGGGGATGAAGAAAGGATGGAGATAGAGAAGATGGAGATGGGGGTGAAGATGAAGAAGGAGATGGGATGGAGATGGAGATGAGATGGAGATGGGATGGAGATGGGATGGAGATGAAGAAGGATGGGGATGATGATGGGATGGAGACGGATGGGGATGGAGATGGGATGGAGACGGATGGGGATGGAGATGGGATGGAGACGAGATGAACATGGGGATGGGACGGAGGTGAACACAGAAATGGAGGTGGGGTGGGATGTGGGACAGCGATGACACCGGGGTCCACCCCTGTCCCAGATGTGGGTCCAGGACCGCCTGCCCTTGGCCATGCTGAAGGACCATGGCACCAACCTCCAGACCGTCCAACAGTTCATCAAGAAGAACCAGGTCAGCGCCCGCGCCGCCGCTGGGGCCGGGAGAGGGGGTCACCCCCCGCCCTGAGCCCTCCACCCACCCCCGTCCCACCCCACCCCACCCCACCTGCAGAACCTGCGCCGGGAGATCCAGGTGCACCGGCCCCGCGTGGACGAGGTGCTGGAACGCGCCGCCGCCGTGGCCTCCATCAAGAGCCCCGAGGCCGAGGGCGTGCGGTGCCTCCTGGAGCGGCTGGGGACCATGTGGGCGGAGCTGCAGGAGCAGACGGAGCGCCGGCAGCAGGCCCTGGATGCCACCTACCAGCTGGAGCAGTACTACTTCGACGTGGCCGAGGTGGAGTCGTGGCTGGGAGAGCAGGAGCTGCTCCTGATGAACGAGGAGAAGGGGAAGGTGGGCTCCAGAGTGGTGCTTGGGCTTGGTGGTTGGGTTGGGTCGGGTTGGTTGGGTGAACTGGGTGGGTTGGGTCGACTTGGTTGGTTGGATTGGGTGAATTAGATGGGTTGGGTTGGGATGGTTGGGTTGGTTGGTTGGGTTGGGTTGGTTTAGCTGGGTTTGTTGAGTTGGGTTGGTTGCACTGGTTGGGTTGAGTTGGTTGGGTTGGGTTGGTTGAGCTGGGTTTTGCTGGGTTTGTTGGGCTGGGTGGTTGGGTTGGGTTGGTTGGTAGGGTTGGGTTGGGGTGGTTGGGTTGGATGGGTTGGGTTGAGTGCCTTGCTTGATTTGGACTGGCTTGGTTGGGTTGGGTGGTTGGGTTGAGTTGGTTGGTTGAGTTGGGTTCAGCTGGCTTTGTTGGGCTGGGTGGTTGGGTTGGTTGAGTTGGGTTTGTTGGGTTGGGCAGTTGGGTTGGTTGCACTGGTTGGGTTGGGTTGGGTTAGTTGGTTGAGTTGGATTGGGTTGGGTTGGGTTGGGTTAGTTGGTTGAGTTGGGTTGGGTTGGGTTGGTTGCACTGGTTGGGTTGGGTTGGGTTGGGTTATTTGGTTGAGTTGGGTTGGGTTGGGTTTAGCTGGCTTTGTTGGATTGGGTGGTTGGGTTTGGTTGGTTGGTTGAGTTGGGTTCAACTAGCTTTGTTGGGTTGGGTTGCATGGGTTGGGTTGCGTTTGGTTGGTTGGGTTGGGTTGGGTTTAGCTGGCTTGGTTGGGTTGGGTTGGTTGGTTGGGTTGGTTGCACTGGTTGGGTTAGGTTGGGTTGGGATGGGTTGGTTGCACTGGTTGGGTTAGGTTGGGTTGGGATGGGTTGGTTGCACTGGTTGGGTTAGGTTGGGTTGGGATGGGTTGGTTGCACTGGTTGGGTTAGGTTGGGTTGGGATGGGTTGGTTGCACTGGTTGGGTTAGGTTGGGTTGGGATGGGTTGGTTGCACTGGTTGGGTTTTTTGGGTTGGCTTTGGTTGGCTGGGTTTGTTGGGTTGGTTGCACTGGTTGGGTTTTTTGGCTTGCTCGGTTGATTCGGTTGGGTTCACTTGCGTTGCTTGACTTGGTTGACTGCACTGCTTGAGTTGGGTTGCACCGCGTGCCGCTGCCAACCCTCAAGACCCCAACACCCCACCTCAGGATGAGCAGAGCACCCTCCAACTCCTCAAGAAGCACCTCCTCACCGAGCAAACCATCGAGAACTACGAGGAGACCATCGCCCAGCTCTCCCGCCAGTGCCGCGCCCTCCTGGAGCTCGGCCACCCCCAGAGGTCCGCCCACCCCCCGCCCACCCCCGGCCCCTCGGGCGCCGCCGCGGCGCCGCCGGGGCTGACGGGCGCCGTGTCCTTGCCCAGCGAACAGGTCAGCAGGCGGCAGTCGCAGGTTGACCGGCTGTACGTGTCTCTGAAGGACCTGGTGGAGGAGCGCAAGGTCAAGCTGGAGCAGCAGTACTGGCTCTACCAGCTCAACCGCGAGGTGGACGAGCTGGAGCACTGGATCGCCGAGAAGGAGGTGGTGGCCGGCTCGCCCGAGCTGGGGCAGGACTTCGAGCACGTCACGGTGAGGATGGAAGGGTGGACGTGCGCAGGGGTGGGGTTTGGTGCCGTGGCTGAGGGGGATGGAGAAGCTGGTGGGGGTTGTGGGGGAGGTTCTGACTCGTGGTGCTGTCGTGAGGGTCCTGGAGACCTTTCCTGAGCTCTGACAGGAGTTCTGGCACCGTCCTGGAGGTCCTGGCACCATCCGGGTCCTGGCCACCCTCTCTGTCCCCTGGGTGGTGGTCCTGGCACCATCCCTGCCCCATCCTGGTGGTCTTGGGCGTCATCTCCGTCCCCTGGCTGTAGGTCCTGCCATCATCCCTGCCCCGTTTTAGGGGTGCTGGCACCATCCTGGTGGTCCTGGCACCATCCTGGTGGTCCTGGCCATCCTCTCCATCTCCTGGCTGGTGGTCCTACCACCATCCCTGCCCCATCCTGGTGGTCCTGGCACCTTCCTGGTGGTCCTGGCACCTTTCTGGTGGTCCTGGGCATCACCTCTGTCCCCTGGGTGGGGGTTCTGGCACCATCCTGGTGGTCCTGGCACCTTCCTGGTGGTGCCACCCTGCCCTGGCGGTCCTGGCCACCGTCTCCATCCCCTAGCTGGGGGTCCTGCCACCATCCCCACCCCACCCTGGTGGTCCCAAGCCCTGCCCACCCCTGACCCCTGCCCCACACCCGCCCCGGGCCACGGCAGCTGCTGCAGGAGAAGTTCCTGGAGTTCGCCAGCGAGACGGGCAGCGTGGGCCAGGAGCGCATCGCCGCCGTCAACCAGATGGTGGACGAGCTCATCGACTACGGCCACACCGACGCCGCCACCATCGCCGAGTGGAAGGACGGCGTCAACGAGGCCTGGGCCGACCTCCTGGAGCTGATGGAGACCCGCGCCCAGATGTTGGCGGCGTCCCACGAGCTGCACAAGTTCTTCAACGACTGCAAGGAGGTCCTGGGGCAGATCGAGGAGAAGCGGCAGCGGCTGCCCGAGCTGGCGGCGCGCGAGGGCAGGACCTCGGCCGGCGCCTTGCAGAGGGCCCTGGGCGCCTTCGAGCACGACGTGGAGGTGCTGGTGACGCAGGTGCGGCAGCTGCAGGAGGGCGCGGCGCAGCTGCGGACGCTCTACGCCGGGGACAACGCCGAGGCCATCGCGGGGCGCGAGCAGGAGGTGCTGCGGGCCTGGAAGGAGCTGCTGGCGGCGTGCGAGGAGTGCCGGCTGCACGTGGCCAGCGTGGCCGACAAGATCCGCTTTGTGGGCACCGTCAGGGACCTGCTGGCCTGGATGGACGGCGTGCTCCACCAGATGGGCGCCGGGGAGAAGCCCAGGTAGGGTGGTGGGCAGGGATCAAGTGCTGGTCCACCACAAGGTTCCGTGTCTTGGTCAGCCTGAGGGTCCGTGTCCTGGTCCATGTGAGGGTCCATGTCCTGGCCCACCATGGACCCAAGGATCATGTCCTGGTCCATCTGAGAATCTGGGTCGTGTTCCACCATGGAACCAAGGACCACATCCTGGTCCATCTGAGAATCTGGGTCGTGTTCCACCATGGAACCAAGGACCACATCCTGGTTCATCTCAGGATCTGGGTCCTGTTCCACCATGGAAGCAAGGACCACATCCCGGTTCTTCTCAGGATCCATGTCCTGTTCCATCATGGAAGCAAGGACCACATCCTGGTCCATCTCAGGATCCATGTCCTGTTCCACCATGGAAGCAAGGATCACATCCACCATGGAACCAAGGACCACATCCTGGTTCATCTCAGGATCTGGGTCCTGTTCCACCATGGAAGCAAGGATCACATCCTGGTCCATCTCAGTATCTGGGTCCTGTTCCATCATGGATCCAAGGACCACATCCTGGTCTATCTGAGGACCTGGGTCCTGTTCCACCGTGGAACCAAGAACCACATCCTCATCCATCTGAGAATCTGGGTCCCGTTCCATCATGGACCTAAGGACCACGTCCTGGTCCATCTCAGGATCCATGTCCTGTTCCACCATGGACCCAAGGACCACGTCCTGGTCCATCTGAGAATCTGAGTCCTGTTCCATCATGGACCTAAGGACCACGTCCTGGTCCATCTCAGGATCCATGTCCTGTTCCACCATGGACCCAAGGACCACGTCCTGGTCCATCTGAGAATCTGAGTCCTGTTCCATCATGGATCCAAGGACCACATCCTTGTCCATCTGAGAATCTGGGTCCCGTTCCATCATGGACCTAAGGACCATGTCCTGGTCCATCTCAGGATCCATGTCCTGTTCCACCATGGACCCAAGGACCACATCCTGGTCCATCTGAGAATCTGGGTCCTGTTCCATCATGGACCTAAGGACCACGTCCTGGTCCATCCCAAGGTCCCACATCCTGGTCCATCTCAGGGTCCATGTCCTGTCCCACCATGGGCCCAAGGACCACGTCCTGGCCCACCATGGGCCCAGGGACCAAATCCTCGTCCATCAGGAGGACCCCAGACCCTTCCCCATGCCCATGTCCCCTCCCAGCCACCAAGGACCCCCCCTCCATCCCCACCCTTGTCCCTCCCCTGCCCCAGGGACGTGTCCTCGGTGGAGCTGCTGATGAACGACCACCAAAGCCTCAAGACCGAGATGGAGGCCCGGGCCAAGAACGTGGCCACCTGCCTGGAGCTGGGCAAGACCCTCATCCTCAGCAAGAGCCCGGCGGCCGACGAGGTGCCCAGGGGGGGTGGACAATGTGGGGAGGGGGCATGGTGGAACTTCTGGGGTGTCCCGACCCATGTCCCCCCTCCCTGCAGATCAAATCCCACATGGAGAAGCTCCTGGCTAAGAAGAAGGAGATGACGGAGAAGTGGGACAAGCACTGGGAGTGGCTGCAGCAGAGTGAGTGCCACCCCAGAGGACACCAGGAGGTCATCGGTTGTTGGGGGGACATCAGATGTTGGGGGGACATCAGAAGGTTTTGGGGGATGTTGAGGCTTGGAGGGACACCAAGTCTTGGGGTGGGCATTGGGTCACGGAGGACACCAGTTTATGGTGGTCACCAAGTTTTGGGTGGTCATCAGATGTTGGGTGGACATTGGGTGTTGGGGGGACAGCAGGTCTTGGGGTGGACATTGGGTCGTGGGAGTCAATTTATGGAGTCATCAGGTTATAGGGAACACCAAATTATGACAAACACCAAATTGTGATGAACATGGAATTACGGGGATCATCAAATTACGGAGATCACCAAATTACAGGGAACACCAAATTATGAGGAACACGAAATTACGGGGATCACCAAGTTATGAGGAACATGGAATTATGGGGATCACCAAATTATGATGAACACCAAACTACAGGGATCACCAAATTACAGAGAACACCAAATTATAATGAACATCAAATTATGACGAACATGGAATTACGGGGATCACCAAATTATGGGGATCACCAAATTACAGAGAACACCAAATTATGACGAACACCAAACTATGGGGATCACCAAATTACATGGAACACCAAATTATGAGGAACACGAAATTACGGGGATCACCAAATTATGACAAACACCAAATTATGAGGAACACGAAATTACGGGGATCACCAAATTATGACAAACACCAAATTATGGGAGACACCACACCATGGGTGACACCAAATTATGAGGGCCACCAGATCATGGGTGACCCCAGGCTCGGAGGCGACCCCGCGGCGGTGACGGGCGGCCCCGGCTGTGCCGGCAGTGCGCGAGGTGCACCAGTTCGCGCAGGAGGCCGTGGTGGCCGATGCGTGGCTGACGGCCCAGGAGCCGCTGCTGAAGAGCCAGGAGCTGGGCAGCAGCGTGGACGAGGTGGAGCAGCTGATCCGGCGGCACGAGGCCTTCCGGAAGGCGGCGGCCGCCTGGGAGGAGAGGTTCAGCTCCCTGCGGCGCCTCACCACGGTACGGCCACCGCGGCGCCGGGGCCGTCCCCGGGGCTGGGCCCTGCTCGGGGTGGGGGCAGCTGTGGGCTCTGCAGAACCATCTCCTCACCTGATCTTCATCCTGTTCCCGTCTCTGTTGCTGTTTCCATCACTGGCTTTGTCCTCTTCATCTCCATCTCCATCTTATCCCTGTCCCATCCCCAACTTCGTCCCTGTCCCCATCTCATCTCCATCATCTCCATCGACATAATTTCCTTCTCCATCACTATCTCCATCTCATCCCAATCTCCATCATCTCCATCTCATCTCCATCCCCACCCCATCCATCTCCTTCTCCATCGCATCTCCATCTCCATCTCATCCCAATCTCCATCATCTCCATCTCATCTCCATCCCCACCCCATCCATCTCCTTCTCCATCGCATCTCCATCTCCATCTCATCCCAAACTCCATCACCTCCATCCCACCTCCATCTCCATCTCCATCTCCATGTCCATCAACTCCATCTCCATCCCACCTCCATCCCATCTCCATCCCCATCTCCATGTCCATCTCATCTCCATCTCATCTCCATCATCTCCATCTCCATTCCATCAACTCCATCTCCATCCCACCTCCATCCCATCTCCATCCCCATCTCCATGTCCATCTCATCTCCATCTCATCTCCATCATCTCCATCTCCATCCCACCTCCATCCCATCCCCATCATCTCCATCTCCATCCCACCTCCATCTCCATCTCTGTCTCCATCTCCATCATCTCCATCTCCATCCCATCCCCATCCCCATCCCCATCTCCATCCCCATCTCCATCTCCATCCCCATCTCCATCTCCATCCCCATCTCCATCTCCATCCCCATCTCCATCTCCATCCCCATCCCCATCTCCATCCCATCCCGATCTCCATCCCATCCCCATCCCATCTCCATCTCCATCCCCATCCCCATCTCCATCTCCATCTCCATCTCCATCATCTCCACCCCACCCTGCCCTGCAGATCGAGAAGCTCAAGGCCGAGCAGAACAAGCAGCCGCCGACACCACTCCTGACCCGAAAATTTCTGGGGGAGCCGCCGGGAGGTGCCGACCCTCGCCGGCCGGAGCCGCGCGTGGCCTACGTCCGGCACGAGCTGCGGCCGGAGCGCCTCCAGCCCAAGCTCGACCGCGTCCAGCCGCCGGCTGCCGACGGAGCGCCCGCCG